GGGAAAACCTGCAGTCCCACCCTTTGTCATGCCCAAGATATGTCTTTTCCATTGGGTCAGAGCGGGCATATCTGCAAGGTAGGTGGGCCTGAGTGGCCTTATTATTATTCAAGTAGGATCTAGAAACTGTGGAGAGATGGCTGGGAAGCAAGAAGAGGGAAGTGGTGTGGAAAAGCAGACGTCAGAATCACAGTTCCTATAGAGGCCAACTGTGCACTTTGGAGGCCGTCTTGCAAAGGCCTCAGAAAAACCCAAACATAGATGGATCCCAAGATAAACAGCCCCTTACGCTTACACACAGAGAGATCAGCCATATGCTTACACACAGAGAGATCCCATAGTTGGCTGGGAAAGCTGCAGTGTGTAAGAGAGGAATGCAATGGTGCAAGTAGCAAGGCCTCCGCCTTTTTACTCTGTTCCCTACCCACTGCCCCAACTCAGAGTAGCCAGGAGAAGTGTAGGAGCTAACCACCCCACCTTCCCAGTACTAATCCGTCCAGCTATAGGCCAGCCATCTCTTGGGAATAAGGTAGAAGATGAGGTTTGAGTTGGACTGGATTGAGCTTTAACACCTACATGTGCCCAAGAGGTAGTTAAGAGGCAAGAAGGAAAAATGCAGCAGAGCATGATTAAAAGCAGTGGAGGGAGAAAACATGTTCATGCTCCTATGTCACCAGATTCAGACTGTGCAATAAGCCAGTCACACTAGTATCTGGACTGATGAACTCATTGAAATTTCTGGGTCTCCGTGGTTTCATTTGCTCAAAGTTCAGTTTTGACAGTATAATTGAGTTCAAAGACAAAGAATCACCAGTAACAATTATAAAGGAGATGAAGACAAACTTCATTTGGAAAAAAAACTGCATCAAATTAAACTAAATAGAATTTGTAGTTTTGTTTCCGCTCATGCCTGTCACACACAATGCCCAGGGAGCAGAAATAATCAAGTCCAAATAGCATTATCAACAGAAGGGCGTGGGGGGGAGGGGAGGGATGAATTTGGTTTATTTAATTGGTGGGGTATAGAAAAAAGAATAAAGCTAATTGGACCTTGTATTCAAAAAATATCTAGTTGGTTAAATGATTTTTCACACTTCAGTTCTCTCAAAAATTCTGATGTATAAGTCACAGGTCACAGTAATACATTTATTCTAACATGGCTGCCTTTCAGAATTTGATGTCCTAAAGTTGAAGACATTGAAGTCAGTTATAATGAGGCTACTTCACACAATGCTTTTCCAAGGTTAAAAGAGGTGTTAACTACTTTACAAATCTTCACCATAGTCCAGCCCCACCACAAGGTAAAAATCAAATGGACATTATTTACTCATTATTAGAGAGATGTCTTTTGTTAGAATCATTAAACACAAATATTATTTTCTCCAGGTCATTAAATTGGAAATTTTCTTATGAATGTTAATAATATACTTAGCTTCCTGCAAGACCTTGTAACTATATTAGTTCTTTTACTTTCTTTGCCTTGAGCATTTAGGATCTTGGAGTTAATATCCCTGGAAATTTACGAAGCTTGTCTAAAGAGATGGCCACAGTGATTTAACTTATATGTTAAATAGCAACCAGATTATGGGTAATTCCTCATCCGTCCAGAACTTCTTGAACTTCAAATTGTCACACTTACTGATTTTCTTAAGACAAATCTCTGCTCTTCAGACACTTGAGACAAGTATGTTTCTTCAAAGCAGTTTTAAAGTTCAAATATAGCACATTTCTAACCATCTGCTTCTACAAACCTTCAATGGATACTTCAAACATTAGCCAGTTTTCAGTCTCCTGTAGCTGGAAGCAATGTCTGCGTGTCCTTTCCATGAGAAACGGGTATAGCTTCTATCTATTCAGCAATATCTAAGTAATGGAGAGTTGAGACAGGAGAGTGGAATTGACAAACTATACTGTTTATGGCATAACAATTATTTTCATTTCTTCAGGGTTATCATTGCATTTCATAATTTGCTAATACTCTATTTCACCTTCAAGGATCAGAAAGCGCTTGTGTGACTACCCTTTGAGTATGACTAGCTCTCCAATGCTGTTACGTACAGTACAAACCCAACAATTTCAATTCCTGACAGCACTCTGCCTAGACTCTGCACTGATTTTGCCATTCATTATGCAAATCTCAAATTAATAAGATGGTGTTTTTCTCTGAATGATATATAATTATAGTCTTTCACTAATCTAATTCAATTCAAATTGGTTTCTCCTATAGTAAGTACAAAATAGCTCAGTTTTACGCTCCATGACAAAGAGAGATCCAATCTCTCTTCCTTGTAAGATTAGGCTGACAGGGGCATACTTCGATGGCCTGAGGTTGCAGGGTGAGAAACAGGGCTATATTTGAGGCAAATTATTTAAAAGCCAAGCAAGGAGTCTTAGGGATCAATGTGAAAAAGCTTGATGGAGAGCCAAAGGCATCAGGAACACCAAACAAGAATAAGAACGTACCCAGGGGGTTGTTGGAGGCTGAGCCTAGATAAATCTCCAAGTACTGGCAAGCACTTATAGGTCCTTTTTTATATAGGACCATGGCATTAATAGAACATTTAGAGGCCTCACCAAAACATGTTCACATTCTTTTTTTAAAGATGAGGCTCAAAAGTACAAGGTAAATCTTGGCCTCGATTTTCTGGAGATTACTCTAACCTTAATATCTTTGGAGTCAACTTTTCTCATTTCAGAAGTTTCTCTACTGTTATAGACTGAATTTTGTCCCCTCCCTCCCTTCCAAAAAAAATCCATATATTCAAGCCCTAACACCCAATGTGACTGTATTTGGAGAGAGGGTCTTTAAAACGGTAATTGGGGTTAAGTAAGGTTATAAAGGTGAGGCCTTAACTCAATATGACTGGGGTCCTCATAAGAAGAGGAAGAGACACCGGAAATATATGCAAAAAGTTCTGGGGTCCTGCCCCAGCAGGTCCAGGGGTTCCCAAAGGTGTCGGGGAAGAATGAATGACACGGAGACAGCGTTCAGTTGATCAGCATAGCGAGGTTCTTCCTTTATTGTCCTGTTACATCTGTATTTATACCATTTGATCCTATAAGCATGCCTCTATAATGACATCATGGTATGTTTTGGGTAACCTTCTACAGTTCCTTGTTTCATTTCCATCGTTTCTTATCTGACCTTTACCAAAAATCCTGTCTCTATCTAGTTCTGTTGAGTTTAATCCTGTCTAAATTAATCTGTGTTCCATTATAAGGGCTATTCCAAGGTCCTTGATAAGCTACAAGGAAGTGACTGAAGGAGATTATCCTACCCAGAGTAAAGGTTATGTCCTCCCAGCCTCGCTGCTTGCCTTCCCTGGGACTGCCCTGTGTCAGTGGATCTCCAGGGGGATAGGCTTTGGTGCTTTCCCTGGTGGGCAGACCCCTGGGGATGTGGGCCCAACAAGTCCCAAGTTTATTGCCAACAGTCTTAGTCCAAGTTCTTCATAAGTAGTACATGGTATTTCTGTAACACTAGGGGTTTCACCAATTTATTCTCTTCCTTAGTTCTGTTAATCCCTAACTCCAGGGAAAAATCCTCACCTGGGGAAACAACCTTTCTCGGGGAGGTGGTCCTGTTTAAAACACATAGTGCTAAGAGGGGGAGCAAACGTATGCCATATACGCCAGGTCCCTTGAAACATAAGCTGTGCAGATGTTTCTTCCCTGCAGCGACTGTGTCAAGCAGCAAGGGTGGACCGGCTTCTGGCAAATTCCCCCAGTTTTATTTTTTAAATGACAGCAGGTGTAAATCAGCGGCCACCTCTCGGATTGGGTTGTTTAAGACTTGGAAGACCTGTTTGTGACTTTGCCAACAGGTCAGTCCAAGGCTTAACCCTATATCGGCTCCCCACAAAAAAGAGAAAAGGCCATGTGAGAACACAGTGAGAAGGCAATCACCTGCAAGCAAAAAAGAGAGGCCTCAGAAGAAACCAAATCTACCAACACCTTGATGTTGGACTTCCGTCCTCCAGAACCGGGAGAAAGTAAAGTTCTGTTGTTTAAGCCTTTCGTTATGTGATACCTCAGAGATATTGCTCATTAGGTTCCAGACCACTGCAATAAAGCAAGTATCACATTCAAGTGAGCCATAATCTTTTTGTTGGCATAGGGTCTTGCCTTCAATTTGTGAAATGCAAATCATCTGTTAAATACAATAAAGCAATGTGAAATATAATGAGATAAGCCCTTAATTTGTTATGGTAGCCCTAAAAACTAAGATATCTGGCGTATCATAGATATATCAATTTCATAGATCCTAATAAAAACATGCAAGTATTTTTATTTACCATTGTGGCATCTAATTTAACAAATGTTAGTCCATTTGCAAGAGACTAGAGTTCCTGTAAGGGTTTTTTATTGTATAGCAAAGAGTATCATAATTATTTTTATTGTTTCTACATTCTGTGTAACCACTTGTACTGCTGTAAGATTTAGTATGCAAACTAATGAGTAGGTTATTTTCACCACTTCACCACTGGGGTTTAGCCTAGCTCCTCGAGCTTCCATTCTTGAGCCATATCTATTCTTTTTGTATCTTTTTTTGTTTTGTTTTTGTTTTAGTTTTACTGTCATTTTCTTCTACTCTCTCATTCATTAACTCATTCTACTGGTATTTATTGAGCACTTATTAATGTTCCAGGCACTGTATTAGATACTAGGTATAGATACTTTCCTACCTACATGGGATATATAGCCCAGTGGGCAGTACAGAAGAGGAGAACTAACATAAATATATAACTTACTAATGTGCTATGAAGAAAATGCATAAGGTGCAGTGAAAGAGAGTAACGAGAGGTGTGGGGTGTTAGGCAAATGGTTTCTAGTGCTTGGCATGACCAACGCCATCTAAAGAAGCAAATTGTTCTCAGTTGTTGAGGTCCAACGACTTTTTTATTTTTTAAATGATTTTTTTTTTTTAATTCCCATTATGAACTGGTTTGCTCAAGCAACTACAACACTTGCTAGCAGACATACGCTAAAAATGGCCTGGCTCAGAATCGCCCAGATCTTTCACGATCTCTTGACCGCCTCCTGTCACGCTCCCGTCCCCCACTGCCTCTGCCACCGCCACGACCACGGTCTCTAGACCGAGAGCGACGCTCCCGGGACCGGGACCTCGATCGATGCTTCTTGCGCCGGCGCCCATACAGCTCCCGCCGAAGCTCTCTGGAAATGGGCTTCAGATGCATGAAGTTGCAGAAGCCGCCTCGTGTACACTCTCCCATTTCATACTGGCGGCAACAGGCTTCCCGGAAGTCGGTCACGGGGGAAAGCTCCGCGTAGATGGGCTGCCCGTTGAACCAGCGGTTGTTCAAATCCATCACAGCTTTCTCCGCATCTTCTTCACGGCGAAACTTCACATACACGTTTCCAACGAGGTGATCTCCGAGGTTATCACAGACATTCATCTCCTCCACCTCGCCGTACTTCTCCTCCATTTCTGTGAAAACCTCCTCAAAAAACTCATCATCACAGCACAGCGCAAACCATCAGCAGACTGGGAAGAGTTTTGAGGGTTACGGTAAATGTTCAAGAGGGCAATGGTCTGGCTAAAGGTGGGTTTATTGTGCAACCGAGAGCATCTGTCTCCATGACGACATGCTCCAATTTTGAAATAAAATGAACAGTTGACTTTGTCCTTCTCGGTGCCGAAGATGGAGGCCAAATACTCCGCCATTTCCCACTGGCCAGCCGTGCCAGCTGTTGGGGTCCTGCCCCAGCAGGTCCAGGGGTTCCCAAAGGTGTGGATGGAGTCGGGAAAGAAGAAATGACAGGGAGACAGCTTCAGTTGATCAGCAGCCTAGCCAGGTTCTCTAGTCAGGGTCTCCAGCCAGGTTCTGGTTCTGTTCTTTATTCTCCTATTACATCTGTATTTATACCAGTTGATTTTAATCCCATCCATTCTATTCCAAAGGTTAGGGCGTTTGTTAGATTAAGCGAGATTGTTCGTAGTTAAAGTGATTAACTACCCGCCTAGTTAAGGGGTTTTTCCTGATTTATTCCCTTCCTTAGTCCTGTTAATCCCTAACTCCAGGGGAAAATCCCCACCTGGGGAAACAACCTTTCTCGGAGAGGTGACCTTGGTTAAAACACATAGCGCTAAGAAGGAGAGCAAACATATTAAGAACAGTATGCTATATATGCCAGGTCCCTTGAAACATCTGCTGTGCAGATGTTTCTTCCCTGCAGCGACTGTGTCAAGCAGCAAGGATGGACCAGCTTCCGGCACTCAGTGACTTCCAGTTCACCCCGGAAGGGGCATGCAGGAGGCAGCCAATCAGTGATTCTCTCTCATCACTGATGCTTCTAATCTTCTCTTCCTCTCCCTTCCTCTCTCTGAAATCAATGCATACCCTCTACTGGGAATCAATCCGCAACTCAGGACTTCCTGGGAATTGAACCATGACCTCCTGGTTCATGGGTTGATGCTCAACCACTAAGCCACACCAGCTGGGCAACAAAACATATTTTTGAAAAAAAGACTGATGTGGATAAGAAAAAAGAATAATTTACTGATGTTGAGATGGATCTGTCAGCTAATATAGGCCACACTGGGAAGTTTTTATCCTTAAAATATCAAAATGTTTTTAACAGCAAAATAGTCTGATCCAAGTTATTTTTTTTTAAATAAGTATTTAAAAGTCTTGAGAAGATTGGCAAGGGGCAAGAGATGAGATTGAGAGACCCAAAACAAGACTCTATCATTGTCTAAGCCAAAGGCCATTGTGGATGAAATGAGTGTAGAGAAATGGAATGGGAAGAAAGGAAACTGGCATGTCCAAGAAACCGTGGGTCATTTACTTAACAATGTGTACATCTTGCTGGTCTGATGGGAGTCCTATGGCATATGGGTAGCTGCCAGACCTTGTGTTTTGGCAATAGTCAGGCATGCCCAGAGGTTCTAGGATTCAGGTGGCTAAAATAGAGGCCCCAAAGCGATGCAAAAGAGACACATACAAGGTGGAGGAAATGGCAGCATCCTGGCTGGCGCACACATTTAAGAAGAAATTCTAAATGACAGTGAGTTTAGCACATGAATACTGACACACCAATAAGAAAAAATCTGTTTGTCTCCATGAACACAGGCAAAAAATAATAATGACCTGTGTTTCCAGAGAAGCCAGGCTTCTTTGGTATTTATCAGGCTTAGGCAGGAGAATGCCTTTCCTTTATCTGGACTTTCGGAATGCTGCTGGGGATGAGAGTTTTAAATGTGAAGGGATATGCAACTTCTGTTTGATCTCCGACTTTGATTTTGAAAAGTAAAAATGTTAGGGTTCCTTTTCCACATCGAAATGTCTCACCACATGAGGTGTATCTGAGCATCAAAGGGTCTGAGAAAAGAAGGTGAAGACCACCCAAACGGAAGGGGTCCGTGAAAACACTCACGTCAGAGGACTCAGTGTGCGGGTCTGCCAGCTTAGCTGCCTCTGATGAATTTTTTGAGAAAAGAATCCAGCCCTCCAGCCTATTTCAGAAACCCGTGGGTAAGAGGCTCGTTAGCGCTGGGCTATGTTTCTGTTGTGTTTTAAATAAGCCAGGATTCTACGTGCTGTGTACACAGCACTTTCAAAAACACAGAGAAGATTTGTGTCTGCCTTAAAAGGCTAAGGTACAGGTAATTTGTCAGAAGACCTGCTTCCTAGAGAAAGGATGCGTGCAAATGGCATGAAGGGGAGTGAGATTGGAGGGCTTTACCCAAGCCAGGCAGCACATTATCTGACATAGAAGCTATTCCATTCCCAGCAGTAGGTACAACAACAGAAAAAGGAGCCCAACATGTAATTACTGGGGAAAAAGGAAAAAAGAAGAATCATAATTTCTGAAAAAAGCAGTCTTTTGGTAGAAATTCTGGAGTATTCTACTAGACTTCCTCACTTAAATCGTATTACTTAAAGAAATACTCTGGCGCCTGGCCTGTGGAGCTCAAGGGTTGAGCATCGACCCATGAACCAGGAGATCGCTGGTTGGGGCACATGCCCAGGTTGCAGGCTCAATTCCTCAGCTCTCCAGTGGGGGGAGGGGGGTGCGGGAGAGGACCAAGTGTTGTTTCTCATCGATTGTTTTTCTCTCTCTATCCCTTTCTCTTCCGCTCTCTCTAAAATCAATAAAAATGTTGTTTTTAAAGAAAGAAATACTCTGGCAATTTTTACTAAAGCTTTAGAAGATATGCAAAGGCACCAGTGTGTGAACATGGGAAGATTCTGCTGCCAACAATATTTGTGTTGTTTTGTTACCTAGCCTCTCCGCTGCAAGGACCTTTGTTAAACTGTTTTGGGAACAGACTGACCTGCCAGCTACAATTAACAACTGCAAACGGTTGTAAACCACGTACAGTCCTCTCCGCAGGTTCCAAACTCCAAGCATAAAGAAAAGACAACCCCTTCGCCTTCATTGGCAAAGGCAGTGCTGTGGTCCAGGCACTTTTACCCAGGAACCAGACCATCTCGTCTTGCCAGTGGGATGACTGGCGTGACCCTCTCGGAGCCACACCTTCCATTTCTACAAAGGGAAGGAGTTGGAATAAATGACCTCTAACCTCACTGCTTTCTGTTCTAATGTGGAGCCTCTGAGTCACAGTAATGGACTGGAAGCTTCAAGCTGAGAAGCCAAAGATCATAGAAAGCGCCACTGAGGAAGGTCATGGGAGACATGGGCAGATTTGGAGGCTTTGTCTGTGTCTCCCTGGATGGGAGCGCCACCTGCGGAGGCTCCCGGTTGCAATGCTGAGCTTCCACCTGCAAATCTAACCTCTTACACCCTCAGAGCTCCAGCCAACGCGAAGGAAGCCTGTGTGCGCACATCAAAGCTGGAGCAACGGTGCTGCAGAAACCCCAGCCTGGAGCCAAAAGCAAAATCGTGGCTTTCATTTGAAACCTGCCTTCTGAGCAGACTAAATTTGTGTTTAGAAGGAATAAAATGTCCCGGTTTTATCGCCTGCCTGAAAATACTTACATTTCACTTCCTAGGCAAAAATAGAATTAGAAAGCATGATTTTAGTGAATTAACTCTCTCAAAAGAATGGTTTCAAAGGACAAAAGAATTTATCTTGCTCTCCCAGTGTTTCTGGTTTCACGGTGTGGCTTGTCTCGTTTTGTTGGTGGTGGAAAACAGGCTCTTCCTGGGGATCCCTAGGAAAGAATCCTGAGGATGCATCCAGGGGAGATTTGTTCAGGAAGTCTGCCCCGCCCCTGGGTTTCCAGCGTCCCGTCTACCTCCATCCCGCCATGGGAACTGTCCAGCCACGTCTTCAGCAGGGCCAGAATGAAAGCCAATGTCCAGAGAGTTGGCTTCATAGCCCTTTGGACCCCGGGTGGCCTTCTGTGGGCCCCAGGCAGCCACCAGGCCTGCATGGTCATGTGTTGCCAGGCGAGAGAGAAAACGTGCAAACACATGGGGCAGGTGCAGGTGAGTGAGAGAGAGAGAGAGAGACCTCTTTGCTTCTTGTTGTGTAACCAGGAGTTTTTTTTTTCAAAATAACCAAGAATCTTCCCAAGTTTTTGTGGACTTGCATTGGGTCCACCCCCCTAGCCAATGACCTTTCCCCAGGTTAGACTGACAGTTTTCTATGCTGAAGTACCTCCCCCTGCACCATTTTTACTTCATTACCCATGTGCCTATCTCCTCCCTGCTACACACACACACAAACACACACACACAATCCTTTACCAGAGCGGGGAGGGGATGGGGAACAGGGAGGGGTATTAATCCCCTTGGAGAGACCCTGGGTGCGATTCCTTGGGTGTGAAGCAAACAGGCTGGGTGTCCCCAGCTGACCATGCTTAACAATTTCTGACTTCCCTTGCTTTCTTCCTTTTAATAACTAGCTAACCACGGTAACAATTTCATGATAATAATCTGGAATGCAATGCAACAGAAGAGGGTGCGGAACCATTTTTAAATCATTGTTGTGTTTGTTTTCACCAAGTGGCATTTACAGAATTAGTAGCACCCCGGCCCAGAGCTTTGCAAACCTCAGTCAAGAAATCATTTCAATTGCCTTTTCCGTTTTTGATAAAAATTAATTTGATGATGAGCCAGATATCATCAGCATGCGAGATGCTCAGTATATAGAATATAATATGAGAAGCCAAAGCAGAAAATTAATAGCTTTTCAGAGTTTTATGGGGTAGGATGCAATGTTTAAACTGATAGTGGGAAATAAAGAACATATATCATGGAATAAGGTTATGCTAAAAGGTTTTTCTAGTTTATCTGAATATCTAAAAGAGGATATTTTCTATCCACTGCCTTTTAAATGCCCTGAATGGTTTCCTTTGAGTGCAGCAACAATAATAACTACCATTTGAAAGGTTAAAGTCCGTGGTGGGGGGTGGGGAGATTGAGGCAGGCTAAATAGCCATATTAGGCAGTGAACAAAGAAAAGTTGAATTTATTTAAGGAAAATGGGATGAGAGATGGGGATATCCAAAAGGAAGGGCTACACAGCACTGAGCCAAATGGTTTGGGGTCCATGATGGCAGAAAAAATATACTTAGGACAGTGAAACAAGGGAGGACATAGAAGAAGCAACAGGAAAGCCCAGGCTGGGCTGCTTTGGCTCAAAGGGGGCCTTGGAGACATGTTCAGGGAGTTATCCTGGATGAGCTGCCGCTGCCCATTGCTCCTCTGGTTGAAAGTCTCATGGGGCCTCTTAGAGGTTGGGGATATGTTCATATTGGGGGAAG